TAAAACTGTGCGTTTAAAAAATTTCATAGGGCCTGTAACATTCTTTTTGGTTGTAGTCAATGTCTGCTGTCTGTAACTGATTGCCCAGATGATGCTGCTGCTGGGCTGGTTGTGACTCACAGTTCCCGTGCCCAGCAGAATGAAACACGGCCTGGGTCCAACTCCGCCCTCCAAACTTGCTCTGCGTGAGCCTCTCCACGCAGTCGCGTGTCAGTCCGTCTCCATGAAGGTCTTCCCCTTTTTCCACTGACCTGCAACTTTAAGCATGACATGCATCCTTCTCCGGGGACTGGACCCTTGGATGACAGATCCAAAACAGAAGAGACGAATCTCACTACAAGATGCTAGAGGCAAGTGATCCCCCAAATGCTGACTTTTCGCACCAGCAACGTGCAGGTAGGCGGATCTAGGCCATTAGCTCACAGCCCTAAGGTGAGAACTGTTAAGCTGCCTAATTTGATAAGAAAAGCAAGCCTCCCACTTCACTTGTCTACATCTTAATCCACCAAGCCAGCCAAGAAAGGGAGAAAGCTGGCGTCAGATCCACTTTGTGGGGGCCGTGTATGCATGGGCCCCGGAGCAGCTGGGAGAGGAGAGCTGTACTGCAGGGATGAGGCCTGAGCCCTAGTCCACAGTGGACAAGACGGACTGGACTAAAGGTAGAGCTGCTACCTGCAACCTGTGGATTCACGAACCTGTCATCGCCCGCCCGTCAGCCCTTAGAATGAGCCGTTTTGAAACGAAACCCCTGCTGCAGGCCTGCTGCATTATAAGTTTTCAGGTGCTTTTATGGTTGCTATCTGGGAAAACCGGAAGGTATGTACATATGTATCTTACATTTTATATAATAAAGACTTTGATTTTGTACTAAAAAATCCTATTTTATATAATAAAGGCGAATTATATACATTTAGAGAAAGGTAGAGATGCTATCACACAGGAAGCCATCGTCTTCACAAAATTCACATTACCCACCAGGAGCAGCCTTTCTGCATGGGTAAAATCACCTCAAGTGGCAATGCCTGAGTGATTAAATGACAATCACACCAATTGGTGTGAGCACCTGGCACAGGGAAGCAGGGTGAGGCCAAAGCACAGAAGGAGCGGCGGACAAGTCCTCCTCTTTCCTAGGGGTCAGAGAGGATGGCGGATGACTACACCGCTGAGAACATCAATTTGAAGCAACACCAGGCTTGGCTAAATGTAAACCTGAAATTTCAACTGGGAGTTGGCATTCTATAAAACTACAAATCCCAATTGTATGGTACCTACCCCGTAGTGAAACAACTTAAAATTATTAAAAATGCTCTTTTCCAGAACATCCGGGGGAGATGCGGAAACAAGTTCTGATGGCCAGGTGAAGCAGTTTTCTGTGATTACTTATTCAGTTACATACTCAAGTCTCTGAAGAGTCACTGCAGGAAATGCAGGGACTCTGAATTCACCAAGCATGAAGAGCGCTCCATGCCGGAGGCTGTAGAGGGTTTGGATTTTGAACAGAAGAGCAGAACAACCCTCCGGTGGCCAGCACCCTTCCTTTGGACGAGCCCCCCCACCCCCCCACCCCCGGAACATTCCTTGTTGATTTCCTGTACTTACTTGTCACATTAGGTTTCCATGCATGAACACTAGGGGAGACAATAACTCATGCGTGTGCAAGGTGACATGAAGACATGTCCCCCCCAAATCCTGTATGTGAATATTTAGAGCAGCAGTATTCCAAAGAGCCAGAAGGTAGAAACATTCCTGCCATGCGTCAACCGATAAACAAATGATATATCCACATACGAGGGGGTAGCCCCCCCACCCCAAAAGCTTTTATTCAAAGCTATGTATTTAAATTGTTTTACAAAACAACCTTAGCACCTTCAAAGTACTCTCCATTATACATAATAAATTTGTCAAATCTGCAATTCCATTCCTGGGAACATTTTTCAAGCTCATCTGTTTGAATGGCTGACAGCACCTCGCTCATATTTTTCTTTACCTATTCTAAATCATCAAAGCGCTGTCCCTTCATGTGCTTCTTCATTCTCGGGAACAAAAAGAAGTTGCATGGAGCGAGGTCAGGGGCGTCAGGTGCGTGGGGCAAGAGACACTGAGTTTTGCCAAAAACATGCGCACTGAGATGGCTGCGCGAGCAAGTGCATTGTTGTGGTGGCAAAACCAGTCCCCATGTGCCACAAAAATCAGGCCTTTATGTCGCACACCGTTACACAATCTTTTCAGAACGTCTAAATAGAAAGCTTGATTAACAGTCTGACCTGGTGGAATGAACTCCAAATGCACTACAAGTCAACATTGTTGTCCGTTAAAGACATTTCACCTTTTTTGAAATGAGAAAACCACTCGTACATTTGAGTTTTCCCCATAGCACTGTCCTTGTAAGCTGTGTTCAACATCATAACAGTTTCTGCGGCATTATTCCCAAGCAGGAAACAAAATTTGACAGCCGCACACTGTTCTCTTAAATCGGCCATCACAAAAAAAGAGGTTTGAGGGAAACTGCTTCTACGAGAAATTCACTGTGACCAGAGAAAACCTTCCCAGGAGATGCCACTGGGTGCACTAATTCAGGGCAAGTTGCTCAATGCTTACCTGCGGGGGAGCCTGCTACAAAAGCTCCGCACAGCGAAGTCCCCGCCCTTTTTTTTTGGCGGGGGGTACCCCCTTCTATTAAGGGGATGTTATTTGGTAATAAAATACTGATACATGCGATAGCATGGATGAATCTTGAGAAAGAATTATGTTAAATGAAAGAACCCATAGAACGTATTCTATGACTCCATTTATAAGGAACGTCCGGAATACACACATACTCAGAGGAAGGAGATTGCAGATTAGTGGCTGCCTAGGCTGAGGCCGAGGGTGGTGGGTGGTGGGTGGGTGCTGACAGATGCAGTGTATGGGCTTTATGAGTTGATGAAAATTTGACTGTGGTGCCGGTTTGTACATGTCTGTGAATATATTAAGAACCACGAATTGTATAGTTTAAGTGGGTAAATTATATGGTATGTGAATGGTAACACCATAAAGCTGTTATTTAATTTAAAAATCTGTCCCGATACATGAGAAGTAGCAAACTTCTTCCACAAATCTTTTCTCGTTGATGGTAAAGGCATTAGGTAAAAATGATAAAGTCCAGCTTACTGCATGGTAATTGGAACCAGCCTGTAATACTTTGATATGTACATTTCTAAAACGTGAATGTAGTTTTTAGGAAAATACATCATTACGTCAGACATTCCAGGCAGCCTGCCATGAGGCAGTTTTACCAAACCATTGAAAAGAAATCCACTTAATCAACCCGAGAGTACATGTTTTCTCCTATAGCCACATCTTCTTTTAAGCCGCCTTTCTCTAAAAGAACCATGCCAAACAGAATTGGGCATGATCAACTCATTCACTAATTCAACAAACACCTGCACCCTTGCTGTACGTATGTAACTGGAATGTTTGTGTGTGTGTGTGTGTATGCATGTGCAGGCATACAGCTGTGTATGGACAAATATAGGACAACATCCCTGCCCCCGGGAAGCTTCCATTCTAAACAAGTTTGCAGATTGACTTCAGGCAGGGTGCTGCACTACAAAGGCAGAGGTGTTACTTCTGGTAGCGTGACAAGGCAGCAGCTTTCCCTGAGGAAGGGATATTTGGGGCCAGCCAAAAAGGTGCCCGCCAGACACAAAACAGGGAGAGAGGATTCCAGGGAGAGGAAGTAATTCTTCCAGGCAGAATGAGGATAAACCCCAGCTGTTGAACCATGTGTTGCTGGTGACCAACCTTCCTCAGGAATTATGACCAGCTAACCTTGGGTGCCGGGCAAAGACGATGGGCAGGCTGTGGCTGGAAAAGGATGTCTTACCTACCTTAGGCCATGACAAGGCCTGACAGCTGTTGCACAACAGAAAGCTACCCCCTGGGTAAGCCCAGTCTAAAACAATTCCCCTCTTCACCCTTATTCGCACTAGTGGTGACCTGAACTGCACCTTCCCACGCTCATACTGGTGTGACACGGGGCTGGGGACCCTTGGGCTTACAGACAGGGTCCCTGGCAGCCCGTGAGGCAGGTAGAATCTAGAAGCACAAAGACAACTAGCAGAAAGAGAAGGAAAAGCAGGCTGGCTGAGAGTAATACGACAGAGGGGTCTCTGTAAGGCTTCAAGGGGCTGAGGGAAAACTACGTGTGTGGGTGGGTGGGGTGTTAAGACTTAGGTCTTGATCCCCAATTAACTTTAAAGTAGCTGAAGCTGGTAGTTTAAGCAGTTCCCTCTCAGTAGTCAGCACAGAGTTTGGCCGAGTTGGTAAGTCGTTTGTTGACCCACTCTGCAGGCTAAGATGCCAATTTCAGCACTGAGGGGACGGCTGGATTACTCCTTACTGTGCTTCAGGAGGAGCTCTGGTGACATGGTGGGTTACACACTGGGCTGCTAACCACAAGGTCGGCAGTTCAAAACCACCAGTCACTTAGCGGGAGAAAGAGGTGGCTTTGAAAACGCACAGGGGCAGTCTTGCCCTGTCCTGTCGAGTCACTATGAGTCAACATTGACCCGCCCGCAGTGAGTTTGGGTTGAGTTTGGCTGCTTCATGAGGAAGCTCTGGCCTTCAAAGAGATGATTTCCCCAGGCTTCTGAGTACATTCATCTCATTTCAGAGGGCCAATCTTCAAGGGTTTTCCAAAACCAAGAGCTATTCCATATAGATAATGTGTACAATGTGCTGCCGAACATACACATATATGAAATGTTTGCAGAGGCTTGCGTGTGTGCACGTAAGTATTATCACTGTACTTGAAGTTCAGAATCTCACAAAGTGATTTTGAACTTGCACTGCTAAGCTGCTGCTCGTACTTAAGAGACCAAGCATTCTCTTTAACGCCCTCCAAAGTCCCTTCCCACTCCCCACAGTGCAGACTCTGAAACCGAGGAGCAAGAGCCCAGTGACAAGTCTTTCAGGCAGTGCCTCAGAATCCCCCAGAAACAGTCCCTGGCCAAACTCACCATAGAGAGCTGTCCAAGTTTGATTAATTACATCTAGACACACAGTTCCTGACCTGAAACAGATGGAGAGAATGGCATTTAAAAAAAATTAGAAAGATGGTTACATGTAACTGACAACTAATTTTACTGATCAATTATTATTAAATCATTTTTCTAAGTGATTGAGGAAAAGAGTTCCAATTTGGGGACAGCATGAGGAGGAAGATGATATTTACAACGTCTCAAGTGTCTTCTTACAGTAAAAAAGGGGGGAAAACAGTAACTACAAATAGAGAAGCCAGAAAACCCCCTAAGCAGGGGGATGATCAAGATGAAGTCAGGCAACGGGTGGCAGGCATCATCTCACTGCCGGGGGTTTCTGTCCCTGAATCTAATCACAGGAGACACCAGCCACACCCTCAAGGAGGGAGCAGCCTATAAAAGAACTGTCTCTGCATCCATGAAAACATCAATTTCATAGAGGACAATCACATGCAGTACGTAATTCTGGGCTGGGTAGTATACTAAAAGGGCAAAAATGTTACGATGCTCTAATATTAAATTATACTGCTCTAATATTAAATTCTCCAATCTGACAAATGTACTGTGACTGCATAAGGGAACAATCTCATTGTTAGGAAATGGCCATTACAGTATGAGAGGGCAACGGGACATGATGGATGTTTGTAAGCCACTCACACAGAACTCAGAAAACCTGTGTGTGCATGCACGTGCATGTGTATTTAACCATAAAATTTAGTTTTGTGACCAAAAAACCCCTCTAGTCCAAATGAAACAGAAAACTGGATGCGTTAGGGTCACATTTTTAAACACTAATGAAAACGATTAGATTCATGAATGATGACGACGGTCCTTCATGTCTGCCGTACTCCGGAGAGCTGAGAAACAAGGGCATAGATTGCGGGTCTCCGCGTGCTTCTCCGGTGGAGGGCAACCCCAGTAGCTGCGAATCTAAACTGACTAGTGGAGAGCCTCCATCTCTAGGTCACTATCTGTACTGTCTTTTAGTCCTCAAAGAAATCCAAAAAGGTTTGAAAAAAAGGTTGAGATTTGGTTTTTCGGTTTTTAATAACACAGAGAAGTTGCTGCTAAGATGTAAACATTTTAAACAGTTACTTACGCTTCATCAATGTTGGGATGGAAAATTTTATTCATGAATCCTGTAAAAAGAGATGTTCATTAGCAGCAAAAAGTAGGCAGAGAACAATGGAACTTCAGCTCCAGCATATAATTTCAGCATTGCACAAAAATGACCGACCACACCCACACACTGACCATCCCTCCCCTCAAATCTCTAGATACAGGTGAGCTTACATCCTCCGACAGCTCCAGGGACTTCAGACCTACCAGGCATTCTAGAAACCAGAGGAGCCGACTCTGGGAGCAGCTGTGCTTCCTCTACAAACAGTGACAGAACAGAACAAGTCTGCCTCTGAGCTACAAATGTACCTGGAAGAGAGGCTTCATATCACGACGGACTTAGAACTGGCATCATGGTAAAGCGTAAGGACCCTCGCTCTGACTGCACCTCCCCAGCTTCATTGTCCAGTCTCCCGAGTGGGCGTTCGGCACGAGAACTGCTCCTCCTTCTGAAGTGGTGACTGGCATCATGCTGACAATACGTCGTGTGGGAACGCGGATGAAAGTTGTTCAAACGCTAAAGGACTACCTCTTCCAAACCACAAGGGATTTCATAAGAACCGTGACCAGAATAGTTCTTTGACTCTGGCCTCCTCATTCCAGGAAAGCTACTTTTGACTAAAATTGCGCCAAGAAATGAGTAAAAAAATAAACTAAAAAAATTAAAATGTTTTTGTCCGGTCTTTTTCTTTAACGCATTCCTAGAAAAGCAAGATCAGCTCATAAATACACTGGTGTTCGCATTCCAAGGAGAAACGAACGCATTTTCTAGCTTAAAATCCATGGTTTAGTCAGTCTGTAAGTAAACCAGCAATATTCTAAAGCAGATTCCCAGTCACCGCTGACCGTCACAACTCTGTCACCCCGTTTCCCTTTGAGACTTCCTTAGTCTGTGTCTTCGATAACCTGATCATCACCATCACTACATCCCAACTCTGCCACATCCCGGCTCCCTCCGGTCCCTCAGCACAAGTTCTCTTTCATTCACTAGAAAGCTTCTTGGGTCAACACCCACACTGTGCCTGCCTGCTCAGGGTACAAAGATTACATAAGAGGCTCTGCAGAAGGACAAGAGACACGAAGGGTCAAGGAGCCCAGATGGTTGGTGTAACTGGCAGGGCAACTCAAGCAAGGGCGGGGAGTCAGGGAAGGCACAGAGGATGTGGCTCTGAAGGAGGGTTCTCCAGGATGGGTTGGGACAGGGGGAGACTCCCCAAAAGCGAAGAAACCCCTCTCAATTAGAAAATGGGCAAAAGAACATAGAAACTCAAGTACATCCCACTCTACCTCTGCTCCAGACAAGCACTGATCCTGTCTAATTCTTGCTCTTCAATCAGTCTTTTTAAACAGCTTCATGCTCATCTACTACCATCAAGAGGATCCATGTAATGTTGAGGTTGCCCTGCTACTGAGACGCCTTTTGGACTATTACTACTTCTTAATTTTTCATTAAGAAAACTAAAGACGGCCAAAGTCTAGAATCCAGAGGTTTGCTATGAAAAAGCAGTGGAAACTGAGCCAATGGACATGTTTCGTCTTAACGTTAAGAGGAGAAAAGATCTGGTAAAAAGTTCCTCACGTCTCCAGAAAAACAAGCGAGTCCATGAAGACTCATGAAGATGTCTCTTCATTGCAGCATTGTTTAGAACAGCCCAAATCGATAAGCTGGGGAGAGTCCATATATTGGCAGTCCTATCTAGCCAAAGTGAACGAACTAGATCAATACGTTATGAACTTGATGAGTTACAAAAAATTATAGAATGAGGTTTACAGCACAATGCCATTTAGACAAAGTAAAAACAAAGTGATACTATGTATTCTCTGTGATAACAGGTAGAAAAAACTACCCTGGACCAAGATATTCCACACATAAGTATTTTAGGGAAGGTGCAAGGCCAAGATCAGGGTGGGAACAGGACTGGGGTGGGAAGGAAAGATGGCTTTTAAACATGAGCTCAAAAAAACTGACACCACATCAATTCTGACTCGTGGGGACCCGAAAGGGCTGAGCAGAACTGCCCTGGTGGGTTTCTGAGACTGGGGGGTCTTTACGGGAGTAGAAGGCCTCATCTTTCTCCCGTGGAGCGGCCAGCTTGAGGTTTCGAACTGCCGGCCTTGTGGTTAGCAGGCTGATGTGTACCTCACTACGCCACCAGGGCTCCTTTCCAACACAACAGCTCTTTTGAAAAAGAGGCAGCGTGCTCATATACTTTGCTTGCTGTTGTTTTTTACATCCATGTAAAGCAAGATGCTAAAAGCACTCACTCACAAATGGCATTCATTAGTGCTTGATTCCACAGTGGGAGCATTTCCTGCTCACCCTTTGCCAATCAAGTGCACCCCGAACTCCTGCCTACCACTGAAAGTGGAGTCCCAGCCAGAAAAAAGGGCGAGGACACAAACACGTGTCACCTGCTTTTAGTTCTGGACAATTTTCCCTGTTGCTTCCATCTCTACTCAAAGTTACTACCATGTACAGCTGGAGTAGTTGGGAAAGTAAAACTTAGAATTAGAAACTTATTAACAGTATCAACTATTCAAGAGTCTGCCCATTGTACATTTATGAATTAAGAATCTTTTAAAGGGGAATAGTCCCCAAATCAGTGTTTTATCTGAGCTCTCTTATCGTGAACACTCTTTATCTTAATCATATAAATTCTTAGCGGAAAACCCCTGGTCGTGAAGATCATAGAGAACAACACACCACGATATCACAAGGGCCAAGAAACTTTCCCACAGTGCGAAACACTGCAGTTTGATCCAAGGGACCAACTCTGTGTGTGAGAAGTACATTGCTTGAAGCTACAATTAAAATGTAAACTTGGTTGCTGTTGCTGCTGCTGCTGCTGCCGCTCAGAGTTCAACCCTGCTAGGCCCCGTCTCTGGCAGATGCTCCAAAGCTGCCTCCAGAAAATACCAGGTGCCTTTAGGACACAAAGGCCTGGCAGGGAGGCAGCAAGTGCAGTGCAGATGAGGGACAGGGAAGAATGGGCGAGAGTCACAATGTTTAATGGGGTGACCAGGATGGCTCGGAGATGTTGATGTCAAACTGGAAGGGTGAGCAACTCATTGGGCCCCAGGACTGGGCAGCAGGGCCAGTCTGATGTGACCGCAGAGCAGCTCTGAGCCAGGTCAGCCCTAAGAGGCATGAACAAGGGTAGGAAATTAGAAAAAGGGGGTCGGCTGCACAGTCCTCCGTGGGCCGGGCCCTTTAGGGAGGCTGGCTTTCACTGAGTGACACAGCCCCAAAGAGGCTGGGGCTGTGACGGTGACAGACACATCCTTCAGCTAGCAGACTCAGGTGTTAAAAAGTGAGGTGTGCGGGCAAACAGCTCCACTAGGAAGCAGGATTCCATGCAGAAGGACCTGGGCCACTTTGACGAACATGGCTGCCAGGTGCTGACGAGCTGATTCTGAATTACAGTGACTCGAGAGTGCCTCTGCGAGGGTCAAACCACCAACCTTTGGGCTGGGAGTCATATACTTAGCCATTTGTGCCACCTGGGTTTCAACAGTGATGCCACCTTAAAGGTGTAGCTGTAAAAAACAGCGACGGTGAACAAAGCTTCAGCCACTGGTCAGGCCAGTGTCTGAGAGATAAGGCTAAGTGACATCCTTCCTGTTCCAGGCCTGGAGGTGACATTTGGGATCAATATGGTCTCTATACTGTTTCCAATCCAGGTGAGCTTTCGGCACAGTTAGGACCAAGAGAAGTTCAGTCCTTTGAGAACAAGTGTGTCGGAAGTCAGTCCCCAGCTCCCCTGCCAAGTACAAACATCAGCTGAGAAACTGGGAGGTCCAGGCTGCAGGGCAGGCCAGAAGGACCCAGGGAGCAAGTGGAGACTAGGAATCTAGGGCCCACTGGGCTGTTAACTGCAACCATGGGGCAAGCTGTTCCACTTCTCTGGGCTATACAGAAGCCTCGCCCTACAGAGCTGGACACCATGACTGACCAAATCTCAGCACTGAACATTTTATTTCCAAAGACCCCATCAGCTCACACGACAACTCTGGGGTGGCTGCCATGGCCAGAGCCCTGCAGACGTAGAGCTTCAGGGGAGATAAGCAACAGTTAGCAGGGTGCAAAGATCTGTCCTCGCTGGCCTGTGAGGGCTGTGACTGTTGTTGAGTGAGGTCTTCTTTCCAAGGTGCCTCTGGGTGGGTCTGCACCCAACATAACCCCTGCGCTACCAAGCACAGAAGCACTCAGGACCGCTGTCACCCCTGCAAAGATGCACACACCCCACTTCCTACTGGCCTGTTAATGGCATGTCCATTTGCTCTCTCAACAAATTCTTCACCCCAACCACCCTCTCCTGGCTGCACCTGCAGCCTTTGTAAACAGTTCAACAGGCTTTGTGCCTTTTCTTGCCCTAACTTACTCACTCATTGCCGTCCAGTCAATTCCGGCTGAGAGAGACCCTACAGGGCAGAGTCGAGCAGCTCTCTAGCGGTTCTGAGAATGTAAATCTTTACGGAAGCACACAGCCTTATCCTTCTCCCGTTCTTGCCCTAACTCACTGCAAGGAGTCACTCATAGTGACCCTATAGGGCAGGGTATAACTGTCCCTGTGAGTTTCTGAGGCTGTAATTCTTTACAGTAGAAAGCCCTTTCTCCCACTACATTGCCACGGCTCCTATCTTGTCCTAAAGGCCGGCTAAAAAAAACCCACCTATGGGCTAGTTCTGGTTGACCTACAAGTTTGACTTAAAAACCCACTTGGGAACAATCTTGTTCATAGCTCAGGGATTGCCAGACCTCCAAAGAGGCAGAACCTGAGTGGCAACTTTGCCTTTGAAGAAAGAGCGATGCCAAACTAATTTCAACAAAATCAAAACAAAACGAAGCAAAAATTCTTTCAGCTCATTTTAGAGCATGCTTAACAAAGTATCCAAAGTACACAAGTGGAAAGTGGCGTGAGCTATCTCCTCCGAATGCACTCTTGGACGTGTGGGGGCCAGCACTCCTGCGGAAGCCATTCACATTCTGGACGGCAATGGTCAGTCACAAAGGAGCTTC